TCACCAGAGTAGCCACAGTCAGAACGAGCAAAGCAGAAGTCGGCAGACATCAAGATGGGTCGCCTAATCTCCAGAACATCACAGCAGCCCACTCGGTGTTTGACAGACCAATCCCCAAGCTCTGTCTGCTTCCTACAGACCCACCTACACCAGAACAACCTCCAGAAGAAGATCACTCAGATGATCAAGACGATCAACAGCAAGGGGACATCCAGGAACTGCAGGACTGAGAGTTATCATCTTCCATATGTTTTTAATTTGGCAAGTGATACGTCTCTCACCCTGTTTTTCTCCCCTTAGCAAGCATCAGCAGAACCAGAATCAGCAGAAACCAGATCCAGTAATTCAACAACCTGATGTTGAATGCCCCCGGGGTGTTTGAAACGCAGTCAAAATTCAGTATATCAACGGTTGACCACAGATCGGCCACTTACGAAAATCTTCGGGAAACCTCGGGTCAACGGTCAGGCCTAGTCAATCACCGAATCTCAGAGTCAGTCTGTCGGAGAGAGTCGTAGCAACTGAGTTGAGCGAGCAGTATATCGTTTTTCTAAAGCTACTTTCGGTTGTCCGAACAGCGTCAGTACATCACCCGTTCGAGACATTTTGTTTTCTCAGTACATTTCCTATTTAAATTCTCAGTACAGTCTCCTATTATTCAGTACATTGTTCAGAAAATCTCCAGTATTAAATTCAGAACAGTTTGAATTAATTTCAGTGACAATTAACAGAGTGTAACAAGTGACGCTAAGGTGGTTCGATTCCACCGAATAAATCAGTATATTTTTTATAGACTCAATGCGTTCGTTTTTCACCGGCATTTCCACTACCCCTTTTCCAATCCACCCTAAATTCAGTTTTCCCTCCAAACAGATTATTTTTGCTGCAAATTCGATTTGCGACAAAAAATAATTTATGGAAAAATCCTCTAAACCCAATTGTTGAATAGATAATGTTAAAAAACTTTTCGTAACTCGGGATTTCCCCAAAATCGTGGGCCATCCCCTTCGCATTTTTGGGGCCATTAATTAATTGTTATTTATTTCTTCAACTGAGAATTTTCAGGGATTTTGTCAAAAGAACTTTATTCTGTTGAATTTCATTATCAAGATAAAAGATCTACTGACAAAATTTCCTGGTCCTCTTGGTATCTGAGATAATTAACAATTAAACAATCGCCTCAGAAATCGTAACGGGGACGGGGGCAATTTTATCAATTATTTCGCAAAAAAAAACTCGTTTACCATTATCTTATAAACAAATGGGTTTACAAGATTTAGTTATTGATTATTATTTCCCGAAAATCGTCGGCCATCCCCTCGGAATTTCCGAGGTCATTAATTAATTATTAATTATCTTCTCAACCCATAATTTCAATGTAGAGAATCATACAAGTGCACGCACTCCATACACACACAGCCACACACACACACTAGCTAGTCCAGTCAGTACCGTCACACTCGGTTATGTATTTTCAGTCAGAACAGAATAAAGCAACTGTGCAGACGTGCCTTGTACGTATACATAAGGGTTTATCTATATGCTATCCTATGCCACTCTCCCAGAATCTTCTACATTCAAGAGTCTTTGTTAGAAGAACTTTTTTCTGTTAAATTTCCTTAACAAGGTGAAAGATCTACTGACAAAATGTCTTAATCCTCTTGGTATCAGAGATAATTAACAATTAAACAATTGCCTCAGAAATCGAAAGGGGGATAGTTGTGATTTTCTGAATTTTTCCGAAGAAACACGCTCTTTCTCAATTATGTGGTAAACAATTGGGGTTAGAGGATTTTTCCATTGATTATTTTTTGTCACAAATCGAATTTGCAACAAAAATAATGTAATGGAAAAATGATGTAAACCCAATAGTTTTTTAAATATTGACCAAAAATTAATCAAGACTTGATTGCAATTATTTAATCAACTATTGGGTTCACGTGATTTTTGCATAAGAGTAGTTTGTTGCAAATTCGATTTGCTATCAATGGAAAAATCTCCTAAACCCAATTGTTTAACAGATAATGGCGAAAACATTTTCCTAGAGAGATGTGAGAGAGCGAGAGAGAAATATCTTTCCTTCTCTCTCTCGCTCACGGGTGAATGTAAAACGCTATCCCGCCTCCTGCTGACTAGAAGGGGAATCACGCACGCCGGTGCGCGGAGCCACACCGACGTACTGCCGCTTAACGCTGCAGCGTCATTGGCTGTCCTATTTACCCCAATATCTACGGAGGGGTGCTTCTGATCGACAAGTGGAAAAGGACTTTTCGGCTCAGAATCACCCCCTGTACATGGTGGTTCAGGATCAGCATGTACTTCTGGGACACCCTGTAGACGCAAATCGAAAAATCTGCAAACTAATACGGATAATTGCCGTGAGGGAGGAGGGAATAGTCACTGTGGACGACGCGCTCTCGGCCCACTGAACTCACTTATTAATCCGCTACGATAAGAGTTATGTTGCTATTCCAATTCGCACGAATCTGTGAGAGTGAGAGTGAAATATCCGAATATCTCAGGAATAAATACATAGTAAAAAGTGAATTTTTATATGATAAATGCGGGATAAGGATGAGTTTAGACAACTCCAAAGGATTATTCAGGTGTAGAAACAAATTTAAAGTTATAAGACCTCATAAAAAAACATTAATACAACAATGTGATAATTCGGTGAGCCAAAGAGACGGTACGGTTTTTGCGGATACTAGACTCCCACTAGGCAAATTGTGTCTGTTGTTTGCAATATATTTTTGGGTTGACAAAGTTAAACGTAAATTTATAAAAACACATTTACAAATTTCTTTAAAATCTATTAATCAATATATCAAGGTCATTGAAATAGTACTTGCTCGCACCGCCGTATACTTGGCGAACAAATTAAATATTGCCTAAAATCAATGGATGGAGTAATTAGGAAATAATTTGGGATATTTTAGGAAAGCTTTTCATAATATAGGAACAAATAGTTAATCAGTAATCATTAAAAAATGTTTAGACTGTAAAGTTGGCAAAAATGAATGGGAATAACAAAATTTCTGGAAAGAAGAAACATTTTTTTCTGGAAACCACAATTCCCATAGAAATTTTGCAAAAAATGAACAAATAAAAATCAAAGCCAAGTCAAGAAATGTCCAATGGATCATAGAATATGCTATCAGATTATCAGGGAGGATAACTCTGAATAGAAGGATTTAAAAAAAATTTTTCATAAAATAAAAAATTCAGTAGAGACAGGATTCAAAGTTCTTGGCGCGGA